CTCTATCTCTTACCTCTAATTAATCTCCTCCTGACTCTGTGATACTGAAACTATCTCTTACCTCTCATCATTCACCTCCTGGTTATGTGATCTGGGTCTCTATCTCCTACTTCTCATCCTTTCCTTCCTCGTTTTGTGACTCTAGGTCTCTCTCCTACCTCTCCTCAATGTCCGCCTCATCCTATGACTCTGGGTCTCTATCTCTTACCTCTCAGTTTTCTTTCCTTGCTCTGTGACTCAGTCTCTATCCCTTACCTTATCCTTCTCCTCCTGGTTCTGTGACTGCGTCTCTCTCTTACCTCTTATAATTCTTCTTGTTTTCTGACTCTGCAACTCTATCTCTTTTTTTAAATAATAAATTTATTTTTTATTGGTGTTCAATTTACCAACATACAGAATAACACCCAGTGCTCATCCGGTCAAGTGCCCCCCTCAGTGCTATCTCTTATATCTCATTATTCTCCACCTGATTCTTGACCCTGGGTCTCCATCTCTTACCTGTCATTCTTCTCTTCCTGGATCTGTGACTCTGGGTCTCTATCTTATCTCTTATCATTATTCTCCTTGTTCTCTGACTTTGCAACTCTGTATCTTATATTTCATCATTCTCCACCTGGTTCTTGACCCTGGGTCTCTATCTTTTACCTTTCATTCTTTTCTTCCTGCTTCTGTGACTCTGGGTCTCTACTCCAACTTCTCATCATTCATGTCCTGGTTCTGTTACTCTGGGTCTCTATCCCTTACCTCTCATCATTCTCCTCCTGGATCTGTGACTCTGGGCCTCTATCTTACCTCTTATCAATCTTTGCCTGGTATGGTGACCCTTGGTCTCAATCTCTTACCTCTTATCTTTCTCTTCCTGGCTCTGTGACTCTGGGTCTCTACCTCTTTCTTACCTCTTGACATTCATCTCCCATTTCAGTGTCTATGGGTCTCTATCTCTTTCTTCTTATCATTCTCCTCCTGGTTCTGTGACTCTGCATCTCTCTATCTTACCTCTCATCATTCACCCGTACCTTGTATGATTCTGGGTCTCTATCTTTTACCTCTCATCACTCTCCTCCTGGTTCTGTGACTCTGGGTCTCTACTTCAACCTCTTATCATTCACCTCCTGGTTCTGTGACTCTGGGTCTTTATATCTTACTTCTCATCATTCTCCTACTTGTTCTGTGATTCTGGGTCTCTATCTCTTACCTCTCATCATTCATGTCCTGGTTCGGTGAATCTGGGTCTCTGTCCTTTACTCCTCATATTTCCCCTCCTGGTTGTGACTCTTCATCTCTATCTCTTATCTCTCATCAGTCACTTCCTGCTTGTGTGACTCTGGGTCTCTACCTCTTACCTCTCATTCTTCTCCTCCTGGTTCTGTGACTCCGCGGCTCCATCTCTTACTTCTCATTATTCACCTTGTGTTGTGTGACTCTGGGTCTCTATCTCTTACATTCATTTTTCATGTCCAGGTTCTGTGACCTTGATCTGTATATCTTACCTCTCATCATTCCCCTCCTGGTTCTGTGATTGTGGGTCTGTATCTGCAACCTCTCATCATTCACCTGCTTGTTCTGTGATTCTTGGTCTCTATCTCCTACCTCTAATAACTCCCCTTCTGGTCTGTGACTCTTCATCTCTATCTCTCACTTCTAATCATTCTCCTGCTTTTGTGACTCTGTCTCTCCTTTTCTTAACTCTCATCCTTTTCTTCCTAGGTCTGTGACCTGCTTCTCTATCTCCGGCTTCTCATCTATTTTCTATGGTTCTTTTACTCTTGAGTGTTCCAATACATAGTTTATACTTGTGTAAATGTCAAATAGTATGTGTGAGTCACTGGGGTCACATGGTAGTTGAGGGGTGTCCAAGTATGAGGACAATATTGGAGGCTTACAATTGGGAGCCCCAGAACCTTTTGGGTAGTAAGTCTCACAGAGTAGGTGTAGCACCAAGGGTGAGCAAATAGCTTGACTTGTTTTTGGTGTCAGCAAAGAGGACATGGGCTCCTCCTGATGTAGGATGTCCAGTTCTTCCTTTGGGTGTAGTGGACAGGATGTGGGATCATTGGTCCAAGGAATGAGACAGGGGCAGGTGCTGGCACACAAAGTAAGAAGGGGCTGGGCAGGCTGTGTGGTGCGTTGGCAAATAGGCTTCTCAGGTAGATGTATAGTGTGAAGGGGATGGAGGGTGTGGCGTGAGCCTCAGGATGGTAACCTGGAGCCTCCAGGGTCCCTGAGGACTGGCTCATTCTCCTGGATGTGCTCTCTGTGCCACAGCCATCATGGGGCCCAGGCCAGGAGTCTGTGGCTGCCCCTCCTGTTGCCCTGGCCACTGGTGAGACAAACCCTTTTCTGCAGACAATTCCCTCTCAACCACAGGGAGCTGGAAGGGTGTTTCCTTTTTTAAAAGGTATTAAAAATTGCACTGTTGGGGATTTACCCCAAAGATTCAGATGCAATGAAACACCGGGACACCTGCACCCCGATGTTTCTAGCAGCAATGTCCACAATAGCCAAACTGTGGAAGGAGCCTCGGTGCCCGTCGAAACTTGAATGGATAAAGAAGATGTGGTCTATGTACACAATGGAATATTCCTCAGCCATTAGAAATGACAAATACCCACCATTTGCTTCAACGTGGATGGAACTGGAGGGTATTATGCTGAGTGAAGTAAGTCAATCGGAGAAGGACAAACATTATATGTTCTCATTCATTTGGGGAATATGAATAATAGTGAAAGGGAATAGAAGGGAAGGGAGAAGAAATGTGTGGGAAATATCAATGAGGGAGACAGAACATGAGAGACTCCTAACTCTGGGAAACGAACTAGGGGTGGTGGAGGGGGAGGAGTGAATGGGTGACGGGCACTGAGGGGGGCACTTGACGGGATGAGCACTGGGTGTTATTTTGTATGTTGGTGAATTGAACACCAATAAAAAATAAATTTATTATAAAAAAATAAAGATTACTATCTCTTGGGATAGTACCAACCACACCTAAGAGCATCACTTTCTTCTTTTTTTTTTATTGGAGTTCAATTTGCCAACATATAGCATATCACCCAGTAGAGCATCACTTTCCAAGCTTTGAATGATTGTTGAAAATTAGGTTTCTAGCTTATCTTACACTTGACTAGGATTCATCATCTGAGATTTTATTTCTGAGATTTTTTTGTATATTTTTTTATTGTAGTTTGATTTGCCAACATATAGCATAACACCCACTGCTCATCCCGTCAAGTGCCCCCCTCATTGCCTATCACTCAGTCACCCCATCCCCCCTTCCACTTCCCTTTCCACTTCCCTGGAAGGGTGTTTCCTGACCAGCCCCGGGGGCTGTGGCCATGCTGACCAAGATTCTGTCTCCTTCCCAGACCTCAGGCTGCACTGTCGGCTTGCAGACTCAGAGTCGGGAAGAACAGACGGTGGCTTGGCTCGTGGCCTCTCAGCCTCATGTTGGCCTGGGGAAGCCCAATGCTGCCAACGACCCTGCCTATCTTCCCTGGAGATTTTACTGGGAAAGGCTAGCAGGTGTGGTCCTGCCTCTGCCCTGAGTCGTGTGTGTCCCCTACAATCCAGGGGCATCTCTCTTGGACCTGAGACCTTCCAGTCACCACAAGGAGAGAATCTCAACTTCGTAATCACTGGCCCTGGATCCGTGGCCTGAGTAGACCTGCATGTGACCAACCCTTCCCGAGTCTTCATTGGTGCCCTGCCTGCCCTCACTCCTCGTTTACCTGGAAAAAACGGTCACTCTGTGCCCAGGTGAAGTTCACACGACATCCCCTGAGGGTCTCTCCTGACCCAGTGCCCGGATCACTTGACTGGCATCCTGCTTTGCTTACCTTTGCCAATGCTCTCCCCATGGCCTCGCCTGGCCTGGCCTTCACCAGTGATCCCATTTGGTCCTCATGCCTCAACCCAACCGGCCTGTGTCGGCCTAAATGTGTCCCTCAGATTCCAGTCTTGTGCCCTGACCCACGACCTCAGAATGTGGCTGCATTTGAGATGGGTTCTTTGAGAGGTAGCAAGGTGAAAGGAGGTCATAGCCCCATCAGCATTGCTGGTCCTCCATATGGACTCCTGTCCTTGTAAGAGCAGGTGTCAGGATACAGGCAGCACAGGAGGTCAGCCAGGGAGGACACGGGGAGGGGCCCTGTGAATCCTGCATCTCCCACTGCTGGCTACTATGACTGTGAAAGCATAAATGCATGTGGTTTAAGCTGCCAGAATGGGGGTATTTGTCTAGAAACCTGCACTGACTAATACACACCCAACACATGCCCTTTGCTCTGTACACAGCCAGGGCGGGCAGCCACTGTGCCTCCAGCCCCAGGCTGGGTCTGCTCCCCACCCGACTCCCATGACGGGAGGAAGCCAATGCATGGTGTGGCATGGCTGTGGATTTCACCCGCCCATCAACATAGGAAGACTTTCTCCAGTGATTTCTGGAATTTTTAAAGATTTTATTGTCGTTAAGAAAAGAAAGAAACAGTAATAGAAATTAATGAGCTCCAGAAATGTAAAGAGATTAAAACAAGCTAGCCAAGCTAAAACAGTGGCTTTCATTGCATGATCCCTGCACATTCTCTCCCAGGGGGCACAGGGGCTCTGTTTCTCCTCCCCGGCATGCCCATCTGAGGCCACATAGGGGCTCCCACCTGGCACTAGCTCCAGGACAGGCAGAGATCCAGGCCTAGGGGTTCTCCGGCCATTACCCATGGCTGCAGGCTCTCTCTCTGACCCCTGCTACTCCCTGGAACTGCGAGCTAGCAGGAGTTCCTGCCCCATGGGACTCAGGTCCAGGCCACAGGACAGAGTGGGCTGGGTCTGCTGCCTTGGCCTCTCAGGACCCTCCAGCTCTGTCCATGGAGCCTGCGTCCCCCTGCCTGGCACCAGGTCAGCAGGCCCCTCTCCAGGAGGGGTGTCTGGGTGACATCACTGCTTCCCCAAGTGTTGTCGTCTAGCAGCTGTGGGGCTCCTGCAACAGCCTCAGGCCCAAGCCCTCTCACTGTGGTCTCCTCTGGTGGAGAAGACCTGGTTGACCATTCGCGATATGTCAGGGGTTTCCCCATTGGGTGACAGCAGCCCATGGCTTCCTCTCGACGTGCCAGAACGTGCCTGTCTGGGGGCATCCTGAATTCTGGAGCCTGGTCTGGATGGGGTGTTCACAGAGGCCATACCCTGCCCAGATAGACACTGGACTCACAGCCGTTTGCCTCTTGGGGGATCAACGTGCTGGTCTACCTAGGGGCCATCCCCTGAGGGCCATTCTGCCTGATACCTCAGTGTCCACATGGCCCAAGGCATATGTTGGTGGCTGCTAGGAGGGGCCAGCAGGTGTCCATCAGCTCAGGTTGGGGGCATTCTTGGTGTTCTCTTGATTCTCCAGACAGTGGGCCAGGGGGCAGGGACAGCCCATGGTGGCCACGAGGCCAGATGGTAGAGGTGCAGGCCCAAGATGACCGTGAGGTCAGAGCTTGGTGAGGTAAGAGGGCATAGGAGCAGGCCTGGAAGCATCTGAGTGACACAGATTGAGGCACCTGGATCCCGCATTGGATCTAGGGCAGTGCTGGACATCCTTCCCAGAGGGCTGGCCCTAGGCCCCCTGTCCGATCATGTTCCTGTAGTCGGGGATAATTGAGCGCTTCAGCTCCACCACTGACGAGAAGATCCACTTCACCTGCAGCAGGGAGGGGAGGGTGTGAGCTTGGCCTGGACCCCCACGGACAGCCTCCCTCCATGACCAAGCTCCTGCCCCCAAGGCTAGGTAGTGTGAGGGGATCCTGGAGGGGACAGTGTGGGGGAGAGGGAGCAGACAGTGAGAGGACAAGGGTGGGACAGAGAAGGGACAGTGTGGGGGTAGTGAGGAGATAGTGAGGAGATAGTGAGGAGACTTTGTGGGCACAGTGAGCGACATTGTGGAGATAGTGAGGGGCCAGTGAGGAGAGAGTAGGGGACACTGAAGAGTCTGTGTGGGGACACTGTGGGGACAGTGATGGGACAATGATGGGACAGTGATAGGACAATGAGGGACAGTGAGGAGACTGTAAAGAGACAATGAGGGGACAGTGAGGAGACAGAGAGATCAGCGTTGAGATAGAGAGGGGACAGTGAGGAACATAAGGGTACAATGAGGGAACATTAAGGAGACAGGGAAGGTACAATGAGGAGACTGTGAGGAGATAGTGTGGGACAATGAGGGGACAGTGAGGAGACAGTGACAGGACTGCAAGGAGATGAGAGAAGAAAGTGAGGAGACACAGAGGAGACATTGAATAGACAGTATGTGGACAGTGAGGAGACAGTGAGGGCACAGTGAGGTGATAGTGAGTAGATAGTGAGGGGACAGTCATGGGGCAGTGAGAGAACATTGTTCCAATAGGAAGAGGACACTGAGGAGACAGCAAGGAGACGACGTGCCACAGTGTGGGATAAGCATGTGTGCTGTGTGTGGTCAATGTGGGGACATGGTGGAGACAGCGACGGGACAGTGGGCCATAGTCCAGGGACAGTACGGGTGTGCCCACCTTGAAGAGGGTGACAGTGGCGCTGTAGCACACGCTGAGCAGGAAGAGGGTGATGAAGATTGTGATGGTGGTCCACAGCCCGTCCAGCTCCCCGTCCTGGTCCTCAGCACAGCTGTCATCCAGGATCAGCTCTGGACAGGAAGGGGGTGGTTAGTCTCATGCATGCCTGAGGGGCAGATTCCCTAGGGACAGTCACAGCCCTCTCCAACCCTGGGTGCCAGCCTCAGCACCCCAGCCCTACCGCTTGCGCCAGGCCAATGGGGGACCCGCTCTGCTCTGCCCTGTGCTGGGACCCTGTGGGGAGAAGGGTGCCCACCTCCTCTTGCCCTGGGGTCCAGGCCCTTGTGGGAGGGTCAGCGGAGAATAAGGAAGGGCCCAGAGTGACAGGGAGTGTCCCTAGTGAACAAGTGGGTGGGAGCATCAGGATAAGCTGGTTTGTGGGGGTTTTGTGCACGTCAAGAGGGGGTGTAGGCTCCCTGGGGCAGAGGAGGGCGGGTCGGTGTGGTCAGTGTGTGGATGAGCTGCTGAGCAGATGACGGGCAGTGGAGGGGGTGGGGACCAGGGTGTTGTCCATGGTGAGGGTTCCCAAGACTGGCTCTGCTCTGGGCACTGCAGCTGGTCCTGTGTGAGGACCAGGGTATAAGGTCTCTCTCTCTGTGTGTGTGTGTGTGTGTGTGTGTGTGTGTGTGAGAAGGTGGCGGTGCTCAGCACGATGGGCTTGTTTTCAGTGGATCTGGACTCAGCGTCCATGTGGAGGTCTCCAGTGGTCCCTCCCCTGGGCACTCAGGGACACCTGCCTCTGCCCCACTGGGGCACGGGGTGAGGTCCCCATGAGTGGACAGGCCTGGTCCCAGGGGGGATGAACTCAGGGGGGACCTCGTCACTGGAGGCAGGGTGGGGGACTGTACATGGATGGAGTGTCGTGTCTGAGGGCAAACAGGGCCTGTCCCCTCCTGACAGGACAAGCATGGCTACTGCGTTGACACAGAGCTACCAAGCAGAGCTCTCCGCAGGTCCAGGGGACAGGGAGCCCAGGGCATGAGGACAGGCCAGTGTCCCACAACTCGGTACAGAGGTGGGAAGGTCTGTGTGCTCATTTCCCTGAGGGGCCCTGGAGGGGACAACTCCTGCCGTCCCCGTCCACACACCCCAGCCCTGGCTAGCTTCTGGCTGGATTGAGGGCGCACAGGGGCTGCACCTCTGCCAAAGTGCGCTCCCCAGGCTCAGGCGGCTCCCGGCCCCACGTTGTGGCAGCCTGTGCCGCCCTCCCCACTCGAGGTGCAGAGCTCACCCACCAGTGGTGACACCTTAGACTCAGAGCTGGCCTGCCCGTACCACCCAGGGCCCGGGTGTCACGAGCTCTACCTCGGAAAGAACCATGACAGCGTGCAGGGTCCCAGGGCAGTGCTGGGTGCTTTATTTCATGCCAAGTGCCTACCCGGGGTTATGTACACAGGGGCGGGGGCTCAGGCATCCTCAGGGGATCCTGAGAGCCAAGGTGGGGGGCTTGCTGGGTGCCGGGCGTGTTGCTCATTTACCCGGAGAATGGGAGAGGGAGAGATCTGTGTAGTGGTTCTGTAGAGTTTCGTGCATCACCACACATGTGAAGGGGTCTCCCCCCTGCCAGCGGCTCTTGTCCACAGAGAGCTTGCTGTACAGGAAGTAGGACCCGTCCTCGTCCAGCTGGGGCGGGGTCATGCGGTGCTTCCTCTCGGGCTCCTGCTGTCCATTGCTCTGCCACTCCACATCAATCTCAGGTGGGTAGAAGTCTTTGACCAGGCAGGTGATGCTGACTGTGTCACTGGATGACAACTCCCTTTGGGATGGCGGCAGGACATACACACTGGGCTTATGGGCCCTCCCTGTGGGGTAAAGGGTCAGCACAGATGGTCACTGTCAGGGTGGAGGACTGGACCCTACACGGGAGCTCTCCTTCCCTGAAGCCCCTCTGCCCACCTCTGGCCTTGGAGATGGTCCTCTCGATGGGGGACGGGAGGCCTATGTGGTTGACTCTGCACGTGAACTGCTTCCCGGTGAGCCAGTCCTGGTGCTCGATGGGGAGGACGCTGACCACACGGTACGTGCTGTTCAACTGCTGCTCCCGAGGCTGGGTCTTGGCTGCGTGCACCTGCTTACCATCCACGAACCAGCTGATCTGCACCTCAGGGTCCTCACGGCCCAGATCTAACACCACACAGGTGACCTCGGGTGTTCGGGTAATCCTGAGGATGTCCTTGGGTTTCGGGGGAAAGATGAGGACCGAAGGCCCTCCCAGAGGTTCAGGGACTGGAATGGGAGACAGTTAGGGTCAGCTTTTGGGTGACTTCCTTTTTAGCACCCATTCCCCTATTAGTCAGTGCCTGGATGTGCACCATCTTCTTGGGTTGCAGAGCGGGGCCCTGCTGACTCACCTGGGCATGGGGGTATCTCACTGCATCTGCATTCATTGACCACTGCAGAGAGAGCAGACTGGGGTTATTGGGAGCGTGGGGTGGGCACAGGTCATGGGGTGAACTTAGGTCAGGCCAGCTCATGAGGGGATCCCTGACCAGTGGCACCCAATGGGCCCCGGGAATGCAGTGGGGAATGCAGCCTGTGATCATCTGGACCAGGCAGCCACGCCCAGAGGACACCCTCCCAGAAAGGGGAGGCCTTGAGGGCGGGGACACTGAGGTGACTCCCCGGTGACGTGGGCCGGGAGGGACAGCTGACCTGGCCTGTCCCCGAGTGGACCCCTCTCTGAGGTCCGACGTCTCACCTGGCTTGTCTACTTTAGTGTTGCTGGCCGGGTGGGCCACGTTGCAGGTGAAGGTCTCGCTGGGCCACCTGCTGGAGGGCACTGTCACCATGCTGCTGAGGGAGTAGAGCCCTGAGGACTGCAGGACGGACGGGAAGGTGTGCACACCGCTGGTCAAGGAGCCGTAATTCCAGGACACGGTTACAGGCTCGGGGAAGTAGCCTGACACCAGGCAGGCCAGGGCCACCGTGGAGCCGGAAGTGGACCCGCAGCTGGGGGCCAGTGGGAAGACCGAGGGGGCCGTGGTGGAGGCTGCAAGAGAGGAGGCTGTGTGACCCCCAGGGTCTCAGGGGTCCAGGCCTGGGGTGGCTCTGATCACCACGCCCACGTGCTTCAGGGAGTCTGCACACCAGGCGCATGGCCCGGCTCGCTGTGGCCACAGAACCTGGACTCCTCGGCCTGGTCAGTGCTGGGTGACCACCTGGATCACGTCCCCAGGGCCTCGGCCCCTGGGTCCCCGCTCAGGTTTTCCCTGGCTGCCCCACCTGACCACGGCCTCTGTGGCAGCCCCGACCTGGGAGCCCTGTGCCCAGTGGGCTCCTGCGGGCCCCTGAGCCCAGGCCTGCTGTCCCCGTCCGACCGCGTCTTGCCCCAGCAGGGATTTGCACCCACTGCCCAGGCCCCTCAGCACGGAGCTCTCGTCCTGGGCTGCCATGTGCCCTCCAGGTGCCACGACGTCAGGGTCAGCTCTGCAGCCAAGCACCCGGGGCCGGATCCCGTCCCTGCCCGAGCCGTCGGGACTGCCCCAGGCCTTCCAGGCATGGCTTCCTGACGTCCCTCAGGGCTGCTCCCGCCTTGGCCCCGGCCTTTGCCCCCCGTGCTCTGGGGCCCGGGCAGCTCCCACAGGCCTCCCGCACCCAGGGCTGCCCTGAGCCTGTGCGCCCCTCGGGGTGGGAGGGAGCGCGGCCCTGCCCTGGCTGTCCCGTCCTGCGTGGTGACAGCAAGTAGGCTGCAGCTCAGACGCCGCCACCCGCCGGCCTGTCCCCTTGGACCCTGGGCCCCGCTGCTCAGCTCAGGGCCCTGAAGCTGCCCCTCGCACGCCCACCACGGCTGGCAGCCCTGCCTGGGGCTCCCCACGGGCCCCTTGGTCTCCTGCCTCTGGCTCCTCGGCCCTGCACCCCGGGACCCGGCTGGCCATGACCCCCCTCCCGGGCGGGTCTCAGGGGCCTGCAGGACCGCGCTGCTGCCCTGACTGGAAACCCGTGGCTCCCTCCTTCCTAGAGTGGCCCCCCTTCCCCTGGGCCCCAAGGCCTTCCCGGGGAGGCTCTGCTCCCCACCCGGCCTCACCGCCTCACACTCCCCGGGTCCAGGAGGCTCAGCTGCCCGGACCCTCAGCCCCTGAGCGGGTGGCGCCGGCTCAGCCGCTGCGCAGTGCAGCCCCGCTTGGCGCTCAGGCCTCGGCGCTGAGATTCTGGAACAAGGCGGCACCTCCCTGGCCCCTGGGCCTCCCAGATGGGCATGTTCCGGGGCCTCGCTGAGCTGAGATCTGAGTGCACCCCTGCCCCTCCTGCTCCCCACCTGCCCTGCTCCCCTGCACCTGCTCCCCTGCTTTCTGAGATCCTGGGGTGACCCCTGCACCTCCTGTCCCCATCTCCCCCTGCTTCTTGCACCAGATCCCCTGATCCCTGAGCTCCTGGGGTTACCCCTGCCCCCCCTGCTCTCCCACCTGCCCTGTGCACCTTAAACAGCTCCCCTGCTCACTGAGCTTTGGGGAGACCCCTGCCCTGCCTGCTCCTTCACCGGCCCCTGCTCTCCTGCACCAGCTCCCCTGCTCCCTGGGCCCTTGGGGTGACCCCAGTCCCTCATGCTCCCCCACTTGCCAGTTCATCTCCTCTACTCCCCTGCTCCTTGGGCTCCTGGGGTGACTGACCCCTGCCCCTCCTGCTCCCCCACCTGTCCCTGCTTCCCTGCATCAGCTCCCCTGCACCATGAGCTCCTGGGGTGACTCCTGCACCTCCTGCTCTCCCACCTGCCCTGCTCACCTGCACTATCTCCCCTGCTCCATGATCTCCTGGCATGATCCTTGCCCCTACTGCTCCCCATCCTGCTCCTGCTCCCCAGCACCAGCTCCCCTGAGCACTGAGATCCTGGGTGACCCCTGCCCCTCCTGTTCCCCATCTGACCCTGCTCACCTGCAGCATCTCCTTGCTTCCTGGGATCCTGGAGTGACTCCTGCCCCTCCTCTCCCCTACCTGCCCTGCTAACCTGCACCTGCTCCCCTGCTCCCTTTGCTCCTGGGGTGACCTCTGCCCTTTCTGCTCACCCACCTGCCCCTGCTCCCCAGCATGAGCTACCCATTCCCTGTACTCCTGGATGAACCCTGCACCTCCGGCTCCCCACTTGCCCTGCTCACTTACACCAGCACCCCTACACCAGCTCCCCTGCTCCCTGGGATCCTGGGGTAACCCCTGGCTCTCCTGCTCCTCCACCTGCCCCTCTCCCCTACACCAGCTCCCCTGCACACTGACCTCCTGGGGTGACCCCTGCCCCTCCTGCTCTCCCACCTGCTCTGTTCCCCTGCACCAGCTCCTCTGCTGTCTGGGCTCTTGGGATGATGCCTGCCCCCGTTGTTCCCCACGTGCCCTGCTCACCTGCAGCAGCTCCTTGCTTCCTGGGCTCCTAGGGGTTGGCCCCTGCCTCTCCTGCTCTCCCACCTGCCCCTGCTCCCCTGTTCCAGCTCCCCTGCTCCCTCAGCTCCTGGCGTGACCCCTGCCCCTCCTGTTCCCCACCTCCCCTGCTCACTTGCACCACCTCCGCTGCACTGGCTCCACTGCTCCCTGAGCTCCTGGGGTGACCCCTGCCCCTCCTGCTCCCCCACCTGCCCCTGCTCACCTGCACCAGCTCCCCTGCCCCTGGGCTCCTGGGGTGACCCCTGCCCCTCCTGCTCCCCCATCTGCCCCTGCTCACCTGCACCAGCTCCCCTGCCCCTGGGCTCATGGGGTGACCCCTGCCCCTCCTGCTCCCCCACCTGCCCCTGCTCACCTGTACCAGCTCCCCTGCCCCCTGGGCTCCTGGGGTGACCCCTGCCCCTCCTGCTCCCCCACCTGCCCCTGCTCACCTGCACCAGCTCCCCTGCCCCCTGGGCTCCTGGGGTGACCCCTGCCCCTCCTGCTCCCCCACCTGCCCTGCTCACCTGCACCAGCTCCCCTGCCCCCTGGGCTCCTGGGGTGACCCCTGCCCCTCCTGCTCCCCCATCTGCCCCTGCTCACCTGCACCAGCTCCCCTGCCCCTGGGCTCCTGGGGTGACCTCTGCACCTCCTGCTCCCCCACCTGCCCCAGCTCAACTGCACCAGCTCCCCTGCCCCCTGGGCTCCTGGGGTGACCTCTGCACCTCCTGCTCCCCCACCTGCCCTGCTCACCTGCACCAGCTCCCCTGCCCCCTGGGCTCCTAGGGTGACCCTGGCCCCTGCTCCCCCATCTGCCCCTGCTCACCTGCACCAGCTCCCCTGCCCCTGGGCTCCTGTGGTGACCTCTGCACCTCCTGCTCCCTACCTGCCCGGCTCCCCTGCACCTGCTCCCCTGCTCTCTGAGATCCTGGGGTGACCCCTGCGCCTCCTGCTCCCCACCTGTCCTGCTCCCCTGCACCCCCTCCCTTCTCCCTGGCCTCCTAGGGTGACCCTGGCCCCCTGCTCCCCCACCTGCCCTGCTCATCTGCACCCTTTTCCTTCTTCCTGGGCTCTTGGGGTGACCCCTTCCCCTCCTGCACCCGACCTGCCGCTGCTCCCCTGCAGTAGCTCTCCTGCTGCCTAGGCTCCTGGGGTGACCTCTGCCCCTCCTGCTCCCCACCTGACCCTGGTCCCGTGCACCTGCTGTCCTGCTCCTGGGCCCCTGGGGTGACCCCTGGCCCCCTGTTCCCCCACCTGCCCTGCTCATCTGCACCCTCTCCCTTCTCCCTGGGCCCCTGGGGTGACCCCTGCCCCTCCTGCACCCCTACTGCCCTGGTCACCCGCACCCACTCCCTGCTCCCTGAGACCCTGGGGAGACCCATGAACCTCCTGCACCCCAGTTACCCCTGCTCCCCTGCACCAGCTCCCATGCTGCCTGAGCTCCTTGGGTGACCCCTGACCCTCCTGCTCCCCTCCTGTCCTGCTCAACTGCACCTGCTCCCTTCTCCCTGGGCTCCTAGGGTGACCCCTGCACCTCCTGCTCCCTACCTGCCCCTGCTCGCCTGCACCTGCTCCATGCTCCCTCTGCTCCTGGGGTGACCCCCATCGTTCCTGCTCCCCTTCCTGCCCTGCTCACCTTCACACGCTCCCTGGGCTTCTGGGGTGACCCCTGCCCCTTCTGCACGCCACCTGCTCTGCTCCCCTGCACCAGCTCCCATGCTGCCTGAGCTCCTTGGGTGACCCCTGACCCTCCTGCTCCCCTCCTGCCCTGCTCACCTGCACCAGCTCCCTTCTCCCTGGGCTCCTAGGGTGACCCCTGCACCTCCTGCTCCCTACCTGCCCCTGCTCGCCTGCACCCGCTCCATGCTCCCTCTGCTCCTGGGGTGACCCCCATCGCTCCTGCTCCCCTTCCTGCCCTGCTCACCTTCACACACTCCCTGGGCTTCTGGGGTGACCCCTGCCCCTTCTGCACACCACCTGCTCTGCTCCCCTACACCAGCTCCCATGCTGCCTGAGCTCCTTGGGTGACCCCTGACCCTCCTGCTCCCCTCCTGCCCTGCTCACCTGCACCAGCTCCCTTCTCCCTGGGCTCCTGGAGTGGCCCCTGCACCTCCTGCTCCCCACCTGCCCCTGCTCCCCTGCACCCAGCTGTTCTTCTCCCTGAGATCCTGGGGTGACCCCTGGCTCTCTTGCTCCCCTGCTACCCCTGTTTCCCCGCACCAGCTCCCCTGCTCCCTGAGCTCCTGAGGTGACCCCTGTCCTTCCTGTTCCCCCCTGACCTGCTCTCCTGCACTTGCTCCCCTATTCCCTAGGCCTTTCGGGTGACCCCTGCCCCTCCTGCACTCCCACCTGCCCTGCTCCTCTGCACCAGCTCCCCTGCTCCTTGGGCTCATGGTGTGATCTCTGCCCTTCTCCTCCCCCACCTGCCCCTGCTCACCTGCAGCATACCCCCTGGACCCTGGGATCCTCAGGTGACCCCACCCTCCTATCCCCCCGACCTCACCTGCACACCTGCATCAGCTCCCTGCTGCCTGGGCTCCTGGGGTGACCCCTGTACCTTCTGTTCCCCCACATGTCCTGCTCCCCTGTACCAGCTCCCCTGCTCCCTGAGCTCCTGGAATGACCCCTGCCTCTCCAGCTCCC